ATTTTTATCAATTAAACAGAAACTAAATATTAATTAACATTTGTAATAAAACTTAGAAAAATCAATGTTAGAACAAAAATTTGAGTCATCTTAGTTGCTGTCCAAATTTCTTTTGAATTTGAATTCTTCTGAGTGCACCCTCCTGCAAGTATTATAATTCTGCCGGACCATATCCAAAACTGTTACGAAATGTACTCTACTCTCTCTTATTGATAGAAATAAACAATAGATGAAGATAGCTTCAATAGAGATGAAAATGGATATTATAAATTAACTGACTCTTTATTTTTTTATGATTCTATATATTTTTATGATTCTAAAAATTAAAACTAAAAGAAGAAAAATGAAGTACGATTCACATCTAGTACTTCCTTCCTTCGTTCTTTTTTTAATCGAATACATATACTGTTAGATACCAAAAGCGCAATAGTAATCCAATTCTTCTTTCTCTTACGTTAGACCTCTGAGTTGTTACATCTCTCTTATACGCTTGTGATGTGTACGCTGATTGTTTAATTGTCGCAGACGATTGGGATCTACAGTTTTAATGTCGATTCCGAATGGCTAATTTTTCGAGAAATGTTTCTGTGAAGGATACTTCCGGGAGATTTCCTTTTTCGAGAGTAAATCCAAGAAATACAAACATATTTTGTTTTCTATTGAACCTGGAACATCTAGCGTAATAAATCAGTATGCTGTTATCAAATTATCACACCTTCGCTCATGTAAACAAATTTCTTGAGTTAAATAATATTTTCTTTATTTTCTTATATTTTAAGATAGTACACTCGCAAAATGAAAACAGTTCGATTTTTTTTTAATTGAATCTATAGATATATTGTATAGAATAGATATATTGAATAGAAGATTTTGACATGCTTGTGCAATTATAATAAGATTCCTTTCAATACTGAGATACAAGCATTTAAAATGCACTTTTTATACGTGTCGCCTATACAATTTATGATAATGTCACGTTTTTGTAAGAATTTAACTACAATGGAACAACATGAAATGAATATTATGAAAAAATACCATAATTTTTATCTTTTAGTTAGAAGAATAGAGTTCAAAGAATAGAGTGAAAGAATTCAATTTTCTAGTAAGAGAAGAAGAGAATGCAAGGGATGCAGTGATGTATTTGACTCCGACCATTTCAAAGAATCAGCTTCTTCAGCTCGCACGGAATGCAGGATTCGACTCCTAACCGAGGCAATATTTTTCGCAATAAATTTATTACAGTTTTTTGAAGATTTGGAAAATTTGGGGGGATTATTAATATTTCAGATTGATTGCGTTAAAAGTCCGACAATCATATCGATACGTAATTATCATTTCTGAAATTAATTCATTTAAATGAATATATAATATATAGTAGTTCAACATCTTAACATTCAGACCGGAGTGGCGTTTCGTATCTAAGTAATGTATTTAACATAAACGGTCTTGTTTCCAATCATATTGTCTCTTTCACTTTTACTCCACCCATTGATGCAGTTCGATTAGTAGAGAACGGCATCAATTCGAGCAAAAGTAAAGGGTTGATTCTCTGAGATGCCTGCGGAATCAAATGGGCATCACTGCTGACCATTCCTTCCATTCTCATATAGTCAGTGGGACTCTGACAATACCAACGTTAGGTTAAATTTATCTGTATTCATTTTCTTTCCGCGGACACACCGCACTTTGGACAGGAATAATCAAAAGTTTTCTCTTACTGGCGGATGTGGGAATATCGCGAATGAGCGTGCGATGTGACGTAACTTTTAGATGGTATTGTCACGAGTAAGTACTACCTTAAATTGTAAATTAATTTATTTCTATGGTTCGATTGTTTACTTTCAAAGCCCATATTAATGCACTTAGTAAACAATAAACTAAATTTGAATACCTTCTTGTTTAATTTAATTAAAACAATGGGATTTAATTCCATTGTTTTAAATGAATTTACAACATATTAAATAGGAGAAGTGATGACCTGTGGAAATAATTAAAAATAATTCAAATGGAATATAAATTTACATTTTATTAATTTAACAACGTATATACACATTTCTGGGACGGAAAAATTATTTTTGCGCGAAAGCAGCTAACTCTTTTTGCTCGTTACTACTTGGAATGGTATGGTCTAAGATTTTCCTAAGATATGAAGACGCGGAAGGATGCCTGGTGGGATTTTTATCCTCCGCACATCCGGGTTTTTGTGCTGCCAGCCACATGTAAGGCACTTAAATCGCTTCTTTGTCATGAAATCCAAACATATATATATATATATATATATACTTTTCTTTTGATATCCATTGTACTGAATGACCCACATGATTATGAACATTTTTCCACATCTTTTATTGTCCAGGATCGAGATCCACGTAAGCTGTGTACTTTTATCGCTAGATTGTTGGTCGTTTAGTCCGTACTACCTACGATTTCTTTTCTTTCCTTTTCCGGATTACGAGCTTTCCAGTTTAGTTTCTTAATGTCGGAACTTTGATGTATTATAATCGCAGGTATATATGTTATTGTATTCTATACTAATGTGTTAGCACAGTACTATTCTGTTGTATTTCGTATTTAAGATTCCTGACTTTTTGCTAAACGTAATGTGAACAATTCGTGTTAACAAATTAGTTTTTCTCGCCAGATTTATTTCGCTTTTAATATATATGTTCGATCGTACATTTAAATAAAAATATATTAGCAGCAATTATAAAAGCAATAATTGTATACGTTTTATATCTAAAATTTTTTAATGTAGATACCCACACGCACACGCACACACGCACACGCACACGCACACGCACACGCACACACACACACACACATATATATATGTATGTAGTTGAATAAAATATTTTATAATTAAAATAACGTTAAAATATTTATTCAACATAATTTACATTAATTCTACATAAAACTTATATAATTGTCACCTTTATAGTTTTTATATCGAAAAATCTCTTTTTTATTTATATATTAATAAACAACCACAAAATTTAACTGCTGTTAATTTTTGCTAAAAATAAGATACACGAATAAAATAAATTGAATTATATTAATGACCAGAGGTGCTTTTCTGTAAATCTGTCTACGTCTATCGACAGTTGTTGGTATCGTTACGTGTATTGCATGGATATTTTGTATGGTAAAAAAGTTGCGCAAAACATACCGACAAAACTATCAGTAGACGTATACAGAATAGCACCCCAGGATGATCGTGGAATTTTTTGTGATATAAAAAAATTTTGAGAGAAAATTTTATTCTTTTTTTCTTTTCTAAACTTGGAAATCCATTGTTTAGCACTATATCAAATGTAATTTGTAAAACAATCGATTATTCAAAATATTTCGTGCTTTTCTGTGTTTTTTTAAATCTACTTTCACCTGTGATTCATGTAAAGAGTGGTTCACGTGATTTTAAAAAGACTTCACTGCGCAAAAGGATTTTGAAATTGCTTTTTTCCTGGACTATCGATCGGTAACGGATTTAACAAGGTGTGTCAATGTGATGTACGATGCTGCCTCATGATGCAACGTTTGCTTCGCTGAATTCGCGCTGTTTGTTCCTATAATTTAGTAAATGCCTAATAGTTGCGTGTGCTGCGGCAACGGACAATGTCGCACAGTTTCACCCCTTGTTTATGTCGCACCGGTACTCGGCTTGTTATTCATGAACCTGACTCCAGGAGTCCGGCTTGTCGCCTGTGCTCAGCAGCATCAGCTTTAGGAATTCATGCACATCCTGCATCACGGATCGCGATGTTGTTGCGCAGTAACAGCATTGCGATCCGTGCAAGAAAGTATATCCCGCTCTGTTATTGTTATTATCAGCTGTGTGGTTATGCTACAAAAGTTAATTAATGATAATTATTAATTAATAATTTAATAATAATTAATTACATAATTTTATATTCTATCAAAAAATAGATGTAAAAAGTTAAACAATTATAAAATTCTGCAACGTACTCAAAGATTGCGACGTTTTGCAA